CTGCTCTCGAACGAGGGTCCGCGCGAGCGCTGCGGCAGCGTAATGACCCTGGTGTGACTTTATCAGTGTAATTACAGCCAGGCAGTTGGTAACACCTTCCTGCCTCAACAAAGCCCCGCCAAGACAAAGCCAGCCAGAAAGCAGACAATTAAGGTGTAGTCAGACACCGTAATTGGATTAAATCAGGTTTTACAGTTCCCACCCCCTCAGCTGGAGCTTCTGTCCCCCCCTGAGCTGCTGGTGGCAGTGCCTGCGCCCGCAGTTGGGGTGTGGGGACCCTGGGGGGACCCTGGTGGCTCTGCCGCTGTCCCCTGCACTGCCGGGCTCTCCTGGTTCTCTTCGTTAATGGGCACGGCTAAGTCGCTAATGAAGGGCGATTTGTCCTCCCATTTGGTGGTTTTATTTAGCACGGTGCCCTGAAAGGGACGGTGTTTACCTGAGCTAGTTTCCCCTGCTCTTTTGGCTTTGTGAAGCTGGATCAGAGAAATGTGGAGGGCTCGCTCTCTTCTCAAAAAATACTGGTTTCTTCTCGTTCCTCATTAATGTAGACATACCAGGCATATTTTTTCAGGTCTCTCTTGACTTTGCTGGAGGATGCTCTCAAATGAATATTTCAGAGCTTTGATTTTGACTTAAAGGGAGATGAATATTGAATATTTAACAATGTCCTTTTTATCCCCTGCTTTTTCAACACTGGAGTGGACTAGGTGTTAAAAATCAATGCAAACCAGGATCTCTTCCTAAAAAGCCTCGCATCTCCATGTTTTTGGTGCAGAGGCGATCTGAATTACCTCTCTCCTGTCATCCAGCCCACGGGGCTGCCGTGTCCTTCCCCGTCCTCTCCTTCAGCGAGCCAGCTTCCCCGCTGCCTTGGTCTCGCCGGTTTAATCCCCAGTCCTTGCTGGCATGGCAGCATCGCTTTCCAGCCTGCCTGGGTCCCAGCTGGGGTGGCTGGGGGGGGCAGCAGCGCCTGAGCACGGCTGGAGCTCCCTGGCTGCCGCTGTTCATCCCAGCTCCGGGTGGCATCTCGCTCCTAGCCCCTGCTCCTGGGTGCTAAGTCACCGTTACAGCCAGACAGTTGCCTTACTCTCATTTCTCTTGGGGCTTCTAGGTCTTTCTTTGGCAGCCCTGTTTTGTAGCTGACTTAATGGTGTCCCAGGCCCCGGTCCTAGCAAGGCAAAAGGGAGGGGGGGTTCGTCTGCTCGACCGCCCGCTCCAGGCTCACGCTGCCTCTCCCGGCGGTGACACCCGCCTCTGGAGCGGCAGGAATTGACCTTCGCGTCATTGCTCGTAGGCTGAGCGTGAAGCGGGACAGGGCTGGTCCAAGCCAGGGGTAGGAAAAGAGGCCGCGGAGCCACCACGGGTGTTGATCAGCCCTTGGCTGCTGTAATTAGCGCGGAGGGATTTCATTTGCTTGGAAGGTGTCACCCACGGGAGAGGGCTGTGGAGCCCGAGTCTCAAGCCCGAGGGGCCGGGGATGCCCGAGGAGATCTGTGCTGCCCTCCCTGCGAGCCGGCCTCAAGCGTCTGCCGAGGGCTTGCAAACTCCTGGGGCACCCGCAGGGGCAGCGACAGGGACCTCCACGAGGTCCAGCCACCCGTCACCGTCCACCGTCCTCCAGGGCATCACGATCACACTGCCGTGACCCCCTGGACAAGCCAGAGACCTCAGTGCCCCGTGCTGGCAGCATCCCAGGGGGGACCTCACATCACTCAGAATTGGGGCCGAGAAGGTTTTTGTGCCCAAATAACGCCCAAACTGTGGGAGAGGGGCCCAGCCCGACGGGGGGAGTGTGTTGCCGGGGAGAGCTTTGGCTCTGCCCATGGTCCTCCCTGAGCATCCATACCCCCGCGTGCAGGGCCGCTGGCAGGGTGCTTTCAGAGCCCTTATTTAAACCCAGCTGACTGGGATGGGGATGCATCCCGCAAGTGTTCGGCTCCCTCTGGATGCTGCTTGTTCACGCTGGTCAGAGAGGGCTGAGAATTAAATGGGAATTAAAGCTCCGCGGCAGCACCGTTTCTTGTGTGTCCGGGCAGCTGAGCCCCAAGGCAGAAATCACCAGGGGTCCATCTGTGTCCCCAGAGCTGTCACCCCATCACCACCTTGGGTGGTAGACGAGAGCCAGATTCCCTGAAGTGCTGAGGCTGGCTGGAAAACAGATGGGAAGAAATAGGATAAATGTAGGTACGGGATCCAAAGGAAAGCCCCAGCTATTGCACGGCGGCACACTGCGTATCGCAAACCCGCTGCTGCCCTTCCTGAGCTGGCTGGGAATGAGAGACCCCATCCTGACTTTCCGACACCCCCGGATTACACCGGCCCTGGCGCTGCAGGAGACCAGCAGCTCTCCCCTGGATTTACCCCCACTGCTACACGAAAGCAGTTTTGTTTGATCGGGAAGACAACGGAGGAGTCCCTCCTCTCCCAGCTCTTGCTCACTCTGCTCCGCTGAGCTCCTGCCTGCCTGCGGGAGGACATTTCTGCGGCAAACTCTTGTTAAGCCCTTGGCAGCATCTCCTGGGCTGCGGTTACCAGGACGGCTCGATTCCCGGCTGTGCTCCGTGCTCCTTCCCGCTCCCTCCCAGTATCTAATGTGCCTCTTCTCCTTGAGCAGTTGATGGTGCCACCAGCGCCCGGTGCCACGCACCCCCAAAAGGGCGACAGGTGAGGGGATAGGCACCCACACCTGCGTCCCCCCACACCGGTCCGGTGTGCAGCCGGACCCACTGGTGTTAGGCCCTGCGCGTGGGCTGCAGAGCGGGGCTCACCCCGGGCCCCGCAGCAGGCGGGATGCTGCTCTGCCTGCACCAGAAGGGTTATCCTGCCCGGTGGCGTGCAGCAGTGGCTGCCTGCGGTTCGCCAGTACCGCCTGTTTCCATTCCGTAAGGTGGCTGCACCCCATCAACGGGTGTGTTGGCACACGCGAATAAATACAGAGCTTGCAAAAAGCGGACTTTGTTGGGGAAGAAAAAAAGAAAAAAAATCAATTAAAATGCACATAGGCATGCCCACTGCAGCATCTTCCATCAAGAGATCTCCAGCCGGTTTCCCGGGCCAGGCAGGATTGGTTTTCCTCATTCCCATCTCACCCCCCCGAGTTTTCCATGAGGAAATGGGGCAGGAGGATGCGGGATGGGTCCCACAGCCAGCCATGGAGCCGGGGAGACACGAAGGTCCCCGATACCTGGCCCAAGGCACGACCCACCTGGGGCTGCCGCTTCCAGCCACCGGCTCCGTCAGAGGAGCTGCTGGCCTGAGACGAGGGGAAGGAAGGAGAGGGGGAAGGAAAAGCTCCTCCCGTCTGAGAGCCAGCAATGCCCCGTGCCAGCCGGGGAGCAGCTCGTTCTCAGGGAGCTGGACGGCAGCCCTTGGCACCCCGCGGCCACGCTTCAACTCGGGGAGCTGCACGGACCTGGGTGAACCAGGACTTAGGGCAGGGACACCCACACACGTGTAACCCAGTGCTTAAAGCACAGTCCCACCACAGAGCCAAATCACTCACACCACATGCCGCTGCCTCAGTTTCCCCACCTGTGAAGCAGATGAAACGATGCCCTGAGCTAGAGCATTTATTTTTTCCCCTACAAGCCTCAGGTCTTTGCAGAAAAGGGAAGGCACAAGTAATTTCTAGCAAAACTTCAAGTTTTCAGAGCTCCCAGAGTGAACCCAGCTGTCCTTGCAAAGAGCCTGGAGACAAGCCCTGCCCTGGGAGAGCACGTTGGCTCCAGCGCTCCAGTTATTTAACTGGGCAGGGGGCGAGTGCTCCCGGGGCTGAGGGGGTGGCTCCTGCAGAGGATGCGGGCCATGCCCGCCCACATCCCTGCTGCCGTCACCCTTTGAGCTGCGTCCCTCCTCTGCTCGCTGTGAGGACGCTGGGGAGGTCTGATCCCTTTTCTGCTCCCTTGCAGGCATCACCTCCGAGCCCGCGCTGTCGCCATTCCCAGGTGAGATTCTTCTCTTAAAGTCGCTTTCCTCTGGAAAGTTTTGTAGTTGAAAATGCCTTTTTTTTTTTTTTTGTTAAAAATGGGGTTTGGGGAGTTTCAAAAAGAAGCACGTTGCTTTGGAACAAAAAGTGACAACAAAAAGCAAAAATTCTTTTACAGAAAGGAAATAGAGATTCTTTATTATCCCTATTCTGCTTATTATCCCCAGAGGGGAATTTTGCCACCTCCTGCTGAGTCCCTGTCCTTGTGCCATTCATCACACCCGAGCAAGTAATTCCCTTGATGTGGCAGGCCAGGGGCGCTTACAGGCCTGCTCCCCATCGCCAGCAGCTTGAGAGATCATCTCCGTCCCACCAACTCCCACGTGGGACCAGCTCCGGACGCGTTCATTGAGGCTAATAAGAATTTGCTAATTGCATCTCGTCACTTGTCACCCACCATATGTCATCATGCGATGCCACGTGCCCGCTTTCCTCTCCTGCCGTTGGGTTATTGCCCAGGCCATTAGTAGGCAAGATGATGGGGTGATGGCGCATCTCATTTATGTATTGAGATGTACTGAGTCTTCATGTCTGCTGCTTCCAGCAGATGAAGAGAAACCCGTGGTGGGCAGCAGCAGGCCAGCAGCTGCCTTGTGCTACAGCGAAGGGTCACTGTTTTCTTTAAGGAGCAGAGATTTGACGCAGAGAGGGCTCCCGCCCTCCCCGTGACACCCACTGAGTGTTTGCCACCTCCTGGCCCCGGGGAGGGCTCGTTGCCTGCTGAGGGACCTCTCTCTGCCCGTATCCAGAGATA